AAAGAACCAGCTGGCCAATGCAATGTAAGAGATGCCAGTTCAATCCCTGGGTTCAAAGATCCCCTGGAGGAGGAAATGGCTACGCACTGCAGCGTTCTTGCCTGGAGTACTCCATGGACAGAGGAGCCTGGCGGGCTACAGTCCACAGGGTCACAAAGAGTCTGCACGACTGAAGTCACTTATCACAGTCCAGGGAAGCCCAGCCAAGGCTGGTTATCACCAAGGCACCGCTCAACTCTAGGGGCGCCACTCACACGAGGCTGCAGGATTGGGGCGGGGGGGGGGGGCTTCCCGGAGCAGGGGGACTCCGTGACTGATCGAGGGTCCACTTCGTACCTTTGTCATCTCAGCGTGTTTCACGACAGAACGCTCAGAATAAAAACGATCGGAAATCATAAGTCCATAAGCGGGTCCAAGAATGGGGTAGAATGAGTCCCCCGGTGGACCAAGCCCCGCGGCCACTCGGTGGCACCAGCGCTAGCTAGCTACTCCGGTCCTGCCAGGGCACCTTTGGAGGTTAAGGCGGCGGACCCGGGAAAGAAGGAAATAAAAGAGAGATTTGTCCTGAGCTCCTGGGACACACACTGCCCCGGGCGCCGGACGTCGGAGGCCCAGGCCCGCAGCGACCCTGGGCGATCAGCCGCCGAGCGACAGCAGGCGCCGGGCGAGGTCTTGCCGGGCAGGTCCGGCTCCGCCCCTGGCTCCGTGCTCCTCCCCTCCCCTCCGCCCCTCCTCTCCGCGCGCAGGCTCCCCGCCAGGCCCCTTCCTCCGCCCCTCCTCCTCTCTCCCCTCCCCCTCCGCCCCTCCTCCTGTCCCGATGTCCCCTCCCTCCTCTCTCCTCCCTCCTCCCCCCCNGGCTCTTGTTCCCGGGGTGGCCGAGTGGCTTTGGGGGTAGGTGGTGGGCGGCGAGCAGGGTTCGGGGTGGGCCTGGCCGTGACGTGCGGAGCCGGCTCCGAACTTGGGCCGCGGGGCCTGGGGTCGCCGAGGCGGCTGGGGCGGGCGGGGCGCGCCGGCTCGTTTCACTTGCTTTTGTTTTAAAAGGAAACGCGGGCGTGAAGGCGGGGGTGGCTCCTGCCGGTGGGCGCCCGGCAAACCTGATTTCGCCAGGGGGCTTGGGGAACGCGGGAGAAGGTGTCTGAGGGGCCCTGGCGCGCCCCGATTTGCCGGTGACTAACCGGAGGGCGCCCGGCCCGGGAAGATCCGGGGCGCCTGGAACACCTGGGGGACTGCGGCTCCCACCCCCGCTCCCGGTCACCTGCGCTGTAGAGTCCGGGGCCCGGCCAGGGCGGCAGGCGACCGGGGCGCGGGGAGAGTCCGGCGGCTCTACGGAGACCCCCGCGGGCTCCCCAGGACCTCTGCATTCGGGCCCCTCAGTGCTGGGAGGTGAACGTGGGGAGAATGTCGGAAATGGGGATATGGGTGCGCCAGGCTGCCTCTATTTTTGCGATCTTACAGCACGTTGGACGAAGAGGTAACAGCATTTGTGCGTATATGGCTTTTTTTTTTTAAGCACTCGAGACTTTTGTGTTGGCCTGTAATCAATTGTAGGGTACCCTAAAATAGTATTTGACCTGCAGTTTATTTAGGAAGTAAAGAAATGAGCAGCCCCCATTGGAGATAGGGGTAATTTATTTTAATTTACCGGTAAGAGATTCATCTTGTTCCGTGCAGTGGAAGCGCCTGTGCGCTGTCTGCCATCCCACACCGCCACCAATCCGAGAGATAAATCTCTAAGTTAAGGTTTAATAAAATTCTGAATAATATCACAGTACAGTAAACTAGCGCACTGTGTGTCCCGAAGGGAAATAGTCAAACACTCATTTCTGGAATTAGTCATTCCTCTCCCTAAATTGATAGCTTTCAAACGAAAAAGAAAACCAACCTTCAACAGTGCGCTTAGGGTTTGATTTTTTTTTTCTTTTTCAATTTGTCTAAATGCAAACCTGTGCTCTAATCTCGCAGAAGCAATCACTTGTTCCCATAAGGGTACTGTTGTTGGGCAAGTTCTACTTGTTTTAAAATTGAACGTGCCTGCCATTTACCCATTTTTTTCCTGTTGTTTCTCAAAAGCAGCGATCAATAGGGCGACCACAAAAAGACCTGAATGTGAAATTGACTTATGCGGACTGATTTGGCCTGTCTGCTATCTTCACAAGCCATGTTGAGTAGAACTGTTGTTTAGAGGCTAAGTCACGTCTCACTCTCTGCAACCCCATGAACTGTGGCCCGCCAGGTTCCTCTGTCCATGGGATTCTCCAGGCGAGAGTACTGGAGCAGGTTGCCATTTGCCTCTCCAGGGGATCTTCCAAACCCAGGGGTTGAACCTGCGTCTCCTGCGTTGGCAAACAGATTCTTTACCACTGAGCCACCTGGGAAGCTGTTGAGTAAAACAGAGGAACTTAAATTTGATTAGTTAGGTGTTTGCCAGAAACCGTTGGTAGAGCACTTTGATTCTACGTGGTTTTTACTAAACAAATTAAGAAACGGACAACGAAAGAATTCTGTTCCGCAGCTGGTAATTACAGCTCTTTACATGGGAGTGGTAGATTGCCTTTCCTCTCAGAATTTATACTCAAAAACCAGGCGGGCTGCTCCGTGGCTTTCCACATCTATTCTCGGCCCATCTCCGTGAAACTCAAGAATGTGGAATAAAGTCTGCAAGTCGGGAGATGGAGATGGGTAACTGATGACACGCAAGATGTCCTTTCATTTTGGTCTCCTGTTTTGAGGCTTGCTGATGTCATCAACAGGTGACAGGGCTTCGTTCATGCAGATCAGTGACATAAAGCTCTCATATTAAGGAGCATTTTGCATCTGTGAAAAGTCGAGAGCAGGAGCCTAGTCTAATGGTATCTGTGTGTGATCTCTGCTCTTTACTGCTGGGAAGGAGGGTCCAGGCCTCACCGTTCAGGGGATCCTGGCTCAAGGTGGAGCTCGGGAGGTCGGGCCGTACTCCCAAGGGGGTTTGGTCTGCTCTATGCCCTTGAGCGCCCCACCCCAGTAGCCCTGTGATCCTGGGCAAAGTCCTGGGGTTGGGGGGGTGTCTCTGTAGCCTCTCTGTCAGATGGCTTAACATCTACCTCTCAGGGATGTCAGATTGTTGAGTAAGGTGGCAAGGTGTGGTCCCCTGGCTCAGGCTTAGCCCTTCGCAAGTAGGAACCTACCCAGGGCAGTGGTCATCCATAGTATATATTGATTTTTGATTGTTTGTGGATGACAGGATTCACCAAGTGGGGATTCTGAGCAGACGCAGTCCCTTTTGATCCTGGACAACACCTTCTCCCTACCCCCATTGTTTACTGCCAAACCTTTTCAGCCTGCACTGGCCACCCTGATGATGACCTGCCTTCAGAGGTTTTTAACAACTCCCCCCACCCCCGGTGCCTGGGGGGGGGGGGGGNGGGGGGGGGCTTCCCAGGTGGCTTGGTGGTAAAGCATCCGCCTGCCAATGCCTGAGACACAGGTTCCATCCCTGGGTTGGGAAGATCCCCTGGAGTAGGAAACGGCAACCCACTCCAGGATTCTGGCCTGGAAAATCCCATGGACAGAGGAGCCTGGCGGGCTCCAGTCCACGGGGTCCTGGAGTCTGACATGACTGAGCGTGCACACACACCCCCCCACACACACCCTGTGCCTTTGGTCTCCCCTGTGGCAGGGACTCTCCCCCCACGCTGCCTGTCTAGCCAGGGGGTGTGTGTGTCTGTATGCTGAGTCCTTAGCGGGTCTGGTTTAGCCATAATGTTGACCATAAAGAGAAAACAAGAAAAGACAAACTCAAATTAAGTAGTTACAGGAAAATATGCTGTTTGCCTCTGCTAGTCAGCCTTATCCATTGCACAATATTTTAATTACTCAAAGTTTTGGTTGAAACAGGTAGCAGCACCCAGTGGAGACCTCAGAACGGGCAGTGAGAGGTACCCGTGAAGTTTCCTATTCTAGACCTCCAGTTCCCGGTCCTGAAGCCAGGAGGGTGGGCTTTCCCAGGGTATTTGAAAATCAGCTTCAGTTGCTCTGTTTTTTTTCATCTAATGCTCTGGCAGGATTATCTAAGTACTTTTCTCAGGTACTAATATTTAACTTACCCTGGCAAACAGTAACGTTTTAGGGCCCCAGATAGGTTTTCAGTTGATTACAGCAAATCACAGGTCACTTAGGGAACTGTCCAATTGCAGGTCACACATGTAGCTCTTAAGTTTTCTAATAGCCACAGTTAAATACCGTGAAGTAGACGAAATTAATTTCAGTTAACCTAACACATTCAGAATATTACGTAAACACGCAGTAAACACAAGAGTCAGTACTGAGATAGTTGACTTTTCGCTGTGAAATCTGAGTCCGCCCTAGTCCCCAGAACCAAGCGCTCAGGAGTCACACGTGGTTACCACGCTGGTCAGCGTAGGTCCAAGGTAAAAGCCCAGGCCATCCAAGTAAGTAAGGCAGGTCTGCAGTCGGAATTACTTAACTCTTGAAGAAACGCACAGCTGAGCAGCCCGCAAATGCAGTATTTTGAGTTTGTGTGCTCCATGCTGGAGAATCTGAGATAATACAGGAAGGTTTGATCTCAAGCCGAGGTTCTTCCTTTTTCTGTGCTTCCTGAGCTTGGAGGGGAGAGGGGGCCTCCGAGGCGGGTCTTCAGCGGGCTTTCCAGGATTTGGATCTGCCCAGGAGCGGCGGTGGCGGCTGGCCCTGGAGCTCCCAGGTTGAGCTGACTGCCCCTTGCACCCAGGAGGTGGTCCTCGGCCCGGCAGCCGGCCCACAACCCCCAACAGCTCCTACACCCCGAGCTGACCTTGAAATTGGCGGTGAAAAACAGGTCCTCCCCACGCCTGTCCTGGAAGGACCCAGGCCCCCAGCTTTGCTATCCCAGCCAGCCGGAAGGCAGCTTTATCTGCGCGCCCCAGATCCTAAGGGAATTCTGCAGACGGCATTATCATTTAATTCCTTGAGTAGCATCACCTTTGTGAGAAGAATTCCTGGCATTCGGTTCTAAATGACCTGTTAGGGCTGGAGCACTTGAGCCGAGGTGTGGATGCGGACTTAACAATCCACTTGGTTCGTTGCCTTTTTCAACTCTTAATTTTTCTTTCTTCTTTTTTAAAGATGAATGATTTTGGAATCAAGAACATGGACCAGGTGGCCCCTGTGGCCAGCAGCTACAGAGGGACACTCAAGGTGAGTGAACGCATCTTAATAGAAACTTAGAAAAATTGGAAAGCTCAGTTTCTAGGAGGGAAAAAACAATTGGGTCCCAGGAGACCGGTTGTAGCTGTGAGACTCGTTGTGTGGCTCTGGACTGTTTGCTTAATCTCTCTGGGTCTCAGTGTTTTCATCTGTTAAATGGGTTTCCTGGTGTTTGTTTGACTTATCCTCCAAGACCATTCAATTTGTGGATGGTGAGGCCTTGGTAGTTGATTTCTGAGGCTCCTACCAGGTGGAACATTCTATAAATTCTCAAGAGAAGAGAACTGAAGGATGTATCTGTTCTATCCACCCAGGAAGTTTCCTCAAGTAATGGAAAAGAGCTGAAAGAGCTTAGAGGAGGCAGGCAGGCCCAGTTATTGGCTTGCTGCTCCTGCTCCCATCAGAAGGGTCAGTGCCCGTGGGGTTCAGGCAGTCTGTCCTTCCTGGGACAACTGCGGCTGTTCAAAAACAAAAAGAAAGTCAGATTAAACAGCCTCCTCCTTGGTAATAAACATTTCATGTAGCTTCTATCTCACTCCCTTTTGGGAACATTCTTTAGCAATACAAACTGATGATTTTCCCATTTGCCTTCTCCAAATGTGACAGATTAGATTTTTTTTTTCCAAGTGTTCTGTGGTAAAGATGTCTCAGAAACAGTGGTTTTAGATTGGTAGTGTTTTGTACAATATTGTGTCTCTGGCATGTTCTGCTTTTCTCTATCGTTAGGAGGTTGTTTGTCAGATCAAACCCCAGGAGGCAAGAACTGACACAGGTCTTTCTAGAGTATCATGAAACTGATCAAATTTCAAGCCATTGAGGTTTTTGTTGTTGTTCAATCTGGTCAGGCGTTTTCATTGTGGCCTGGCAGAAACCATACAAGAAATTACAATAATATTAAGTTTGAAATGACACCTCTAGAGAAAATTTCTCCTATAAACTTGAAGAGCCTATGCCTGTGTGATTTCTGGGCTTGGAGAAGAAACCGCTCTTGCTGAAACTGATGTGTTGAAATAACCAGCGGGAATTTATCTTGTCTTGTGGTTTCTTGGTTTTAAAAACAGAACAGAAATGCAGTCAGGAAAGGAAAGGCACTTCTTAGTCACCTGGGCCACGCTTTGTTGTTTAGTTGCTTGGTCCTGTAGGACTTTGCAACCTTGTGGACTGCAGCACGCCAGGCTTCCACGCCAGGAATTTTAAAAATCTATCGGGTATGTCACCAAAATTAGCATTGCTATAAGCTACTTTATAAGTCGAGATGAGTATTTCACACGCGCATGATTGGCCTCCCCCCCCCCCCCNTTGGCCCCCCCCCCTCCCCGCCCCGCCCCACTGTGGGTCTTGGGCAGTTGGGTATCCCTGCTTTGGGTTTTTTGGGGGGCTGGGCGCCAACATCACTGGGCCAAGCTCCAGCTTCTGCCTACCCTCTTACGTCATGCGTCATTCACTGTTTGGCATTTCTAAACAGAAAGCACACCAACCACTGGATCTGTAAATGTGTTACACACTTTTGACTCAACAAATGGGTCACTGTATTACACATGACATGGGTCCAGCTTATGTTGGAAAAATATAGCCGTTCTTCACGTTTTTCTTCCACAAGTTAGGCGATGATGAATCAGGCCTTTGTCTGTTACTTACAAATGAGTCTTACAGTACAGGCTGTTCCATTTGTATTTGAAATTCTCACAGCTCCAGGCTTATCTTTCTGTGTGTGTCTCTTCTCCTAAATTGTAGGTAGTTTAACTTTAAATCTGTTTTCTTTGGAAATCTTTCCCCTTCATAGATGATGGGAGGCAGTGAGGGAGTGACCTTTTCAATACACTACATTTTTACAAAATTAAATCTTAAGGAATGTTCTCATACGTATTTTGTTTGATTTTTGTTGATTGATTTTTTTCTTTCCCTGCCTTTCGTCTTAACTGCAGTGAGCTGAAGCTCTTTTGCCAAGAATCATTTTTTTGGTTTCTTTTTTTTTCCTTCCCTTATTTATTTCCCTTATATATTGAAGTATAAATATAGTAGGGCTTCACTGGGGGTGCAGAGGTGAAGAATCTGCCTGCCAAGGCAGGAGCGGCAGGAGTCACAAGTTTGATCCCTGGGTCTGTAAGTTCCTCTGGAGGGGGGGACATGGCAACGCACTTCAGTATTCTTGCTTGGAAAATTCCATGGACAGAGGTGCCTGGAAGGCTACAGTCCATGGGGTTGCAAAAAGTAAGACACAATTACCTGTACACACACATAGTTGATGTACATTGTTGTTAATTCCTGTTTTGCAGCAAAGTCATTTGGTTATACATATATATGTATTTACACATATATACATAGATATATATGTACATTTTAAAAATATTCTTTCCCATTATGATTTATCACAGTTTTAATTAGGGGATAATTTTTCATTGTTGTGTTAGTTTCTGCTTTCAACAGCACAAGAGTCATTTTCCTTATGCACACGGCCGGCGTGTCTCATCCATTTAACTGAGGAGGGCCAGGTGTTTGGATTGAGGTGGTCTCTGAGTCCCTCCAGGCACTGTTCTAAGACTCTCTTGGTTTTAGGTTTGTTTGCTTAACTTATACATTTAACTTGATCAGGCCATTAAAAGTAAATTCCCAGTCATTCCTATTCTGTGGTTGATGACAGGCAGACCTTGATAGACTGCACTTTGCTACACTGAGTTTTTTGCAAATTGAAGGCTGGTGCTAACCCTGCAGCCTGGCATTGATTGGCACCATTTTCCCAACAGCATTTGATCAGTTCATGTCTCTGTGTCACATACTGGGAATCCTCGACATAGTTTAAACCCTCTCCTAGCAAAAAGATTACAAAGGCTCAGATGACGGTTAGTATTTTTTAATTAAGGTATGTGCACGGTTTTTAGATATCATGCTGTTGCACACTTAATAGTGTAAGAGTAACTTTTATATGTATTGGGAAGCCAGGAAATTTGTGTGACTCTCTTTGCTGTGATAGTCACTTTATTTCGGTGGTCTGGAACCAAGCCTGCAGCGTCTCCAAGGTGTGCCTGTAAGTGATCCAGAGTAAAGAGATCCTCTGGGTCACTTGGATCTTCTCAGAAGTCTGCTCAGAATACCGACTGGTCAATTCCATGCATGGCTTTATAACTGGCAAATTGGATCAGGGTGTCTTGGTGAGGCTGCCCATGGACCACTTTTAAAACAGGTCATTAACTAAGTGTAAATGCCAACGTTTCCGTTTTCTTTCCCTCTTGCCTTTGCAGCGCCAGGCCGCCTTTGACACCTTTGATGGGTCCCTGCTCGCGGTTTTCCCCTCCCTAAATGAAGAGCAAACACTGCAGGAAGTGCCAACGGGCTTGGATTCGATTTCTCATGGTAATTGGTTTCTCAGACTTGATGAATTGAGCGTGATGTCCCAAGGATCTCAGTGCATAGATGACCCTTCGTAAGCGATGCCTGTTGATGTCCTGAATCTTTGTATGAAAAGTCAGGCAGAGGCTGGGATCTGGGAGAAAACAGTTCTCTTTTATGCGGCTGGTGACTCTGAAGTCCTCACCTGCCAGATGCACCCCAGGGAGAGGAGGCGCCCTGCTGGGAGCAAACTGCAGGGGGCCCTGGGCGGCTCCTTAGGCTGCTCCAACTATGCAGTCAGCCTAGGCCCCATCTCCCAGTCCCCTCTGTGATGCAGACCAGTGGACCTCAGAGTACACCCCCGCCTTTTCATCCTAGGTTCACATCCCTAGCTTAGATCCCCACCCCCCCCTGCAAGTTTTGGATAGCAAAGTATTCCTGCTCATCTTGACCCATCTGCCTTCATGCCTGCAGTTCTTCATATCAGTGTTCATTCTTTTGAAAGGAATAGCACATCAGGTGATGCCTCTGTGATTACTATGATAGAGTTGTTAGCGGGAGACATTCCAGAGATGACTTTGTCATATGAAGTCAGTGCTAAAGAATACAGCCCAGAAAATTAATTAAAACGTGTGTGCTTGCGTAAGTGTGCTGTCACGTGACCGTCATTCATCATTCTTGAAATTGCTGAGGGAATGCAGAGAAGGTTGTTTTTCAAACAAATTCACGTCCCAGGTGCTAAGTACTGTGTGTTCCTGTGACATCTGCTGTCTCTTTGCCTGCAGCTTAATTTTAATGGATGGAAGTCGCTTCCAGATTAGCCATTTACAACCCCTTAAGGCTTTTGGTGAAAAACCATGCAGCTTCCTCTGTTGTAAAAAATGTAAGACTGGCCTGCAAGAGAAGCCTTACCTAGGCGTCGATTGCTGCTTTGTGAAGTTTGGCAAAAATTCACCTCGAATTTTACTTTAGTTTTTTTTCAAACAAGGGTAGTTATTAAATTGTAAGAAGTGTAGTTGCATAATGATTAGAATAATACGTGTATTATTAAATTATATTTTCTCAGTTTCGTTGAGAAACTGTTTTGGTTCATATTAATATTTACCCTCCTCTGGGGAGTGATGCTGAAGACTGAGGATGCTCATTGTTCTTCCGTAGGAGCTAAGACTCCCTCCCCGCCCCACCCCTCATCCGTTCTCCCTGTGTTGTGGCTAGCTGGAACTCTTAACTTCCCTGTGGGGTTGTTTTTCAGACTCGACCAACTGCGAGTTGCCGCTGCTAACCCCATGCAGCAAAGCTGTGATGAGTCAAGCCTTAAAAGCCACCTTCAGTGGCTTCAAAAAGGAGCAACGCCGGCTGGGGATCCCGAAGAGTAAGTGCTGCTTCTTGGAGCCGAGTTCTGCCCTGCACTGTGCTAGACCAGGGTGTCGGGTCGCCACAGCTTGAGATGGCATCATTTCAAGCACGCGCCTAGGGTGTCTTGCAAAGAGGGGCAGAGCTCTCATGAAGCTGAGCCAGTTTTTATTTCGAAACCCACCCCGCTGAACACTTCTAGCACTGCTGTTAGCGCCTCAGCATCTTCCTGGGTGTCTGCTGACTCATCACTCTGAGCCCTGGTGCCCATCGGGGCTCTGCAGGTAAATCAGGAGTGCGTCTGGCCTCACCGCCTTGCTTTTCTCCCCTCCCTGCTAGATCCCTGGCTGTGGACCGAGCAGCAGGTGTGTCAGTGGCTTCTCTGGGCCACCAACGAGTTCAGTCTGGTGGACGTGAACCTGCAGAGGTTTGGCATGACGGGACAGGTGCTGTGTAACCTTGGCAAGGAGCGCTTTCTGGAGCTGGCGCCCGACTTTGTGGGCGATATTCTCTGGGAGCATCTGGAGCAGATGATCAAAGGTACCTGTGAGCGACGGAGCGATTGTGGTGGGAAAGAGTGATGGGGGAGCTGTGCATGCTAACTGTCGGGTCGGCGATTCAGTGATGGAGGGCAGACGGACCGAAAAATGGCATTGGCACGAGTCAGCGCCAGGGTGGCGATTATAGATTTCGATTCCATTTAAGTAGGTGTGTGGGGAGCATTAACCACAAGGTGGGAGCCTTTGTCACCACAGAGCCTTCGTCATCACGGAGTTCAGTGTCGCCAGACCTCATGAGTCGGAGGCATATTTGTGGCTCTGATGTCAGGGCAGCTGGGATGCCCATGTTTGGGGGCTCACTTTACAGAGCCTTAAGAAATAAGTTGGCCCCAGCCAAAGCAATAAACTGGGAATTTTATAGTTTTTTTTCCCTAAGACCAGATGGGATCCCACAAAGACTTTTTGTTTTGTGTTTATAAACAAATGTAGAAGTAATTGATGTATGTTTCACACACTTGAAATATTGTACAGAAACTGGCCTTCAAGCCAAAGAACTCTAATGTAGAAAATGTTGATTTAGACCTAAAAAGAGCACTGAGAGTAGTGTTAAAAATACATGAAGCCTTACCGGTGGTGATGCCCTCCCCATGAGCACAGGCCTCTTGCAAAGTATCTCCTTCATCCCTCTCCAGAAGAGAAGAGGAAACAGGAACAAGTGCCTTGTGCAGAGCCCCAATTCCTGTTTCATGGATGTGAAATGCCCAGGATGCTATAGAATCACCCTGTCTCTAGCCGTGCACAAGCAATAGTTATATGTGTTCAGTGTTCTGCTGTCCTCAGCCAGCCTTCAGGAGGAAGAGCACGGCTTACAGAAGGCTGCTCTTTCAGATGGAAGCAGCACTCAACGTACCCTGTATCACGATGAATGGGAAACCATCCCAATACACATTTTGGATAAAAGAAAAAAAAAGTACATTGAGTTAAAAAAGCAAAACATAGGACTCCTTCAAGTTAAACATACAAGAAAATAAGCCTGTTGGTAGAGTTCAGAGACAATTTCTCATTCAATTGATTTTAAACTCTGAGTTTCAACATCTGTTACAGGCTCAGCATCTTAAAAAGATCTCAGGGCCCCCCACCAGCTCTTTGTAGTTACGGCTTCTGAGGGGAAGGAAAACCTAAGGACCCTTAAATTTTCCCTGAACCTGGACAAGTCTGATCTGACAAGTTTCTGTTTGAATCTGTTTGTTGGCATGTTGGACCCATTTTGCCATTTCTCAGTGTGTGTGTCTGGATGTGTGGGTGCGTGTGTGGTTGTGTGTCTCTAGAAGTAAGTTCACACAGAGAATGCTAACCTTTTCCTTTTAAAGTTCTTGGACATGTGTCCCCATTCGGATGCACGTTCACTGTTTTGACCTCTCTGTAGCTCTCGCCACCCGTGGACACACCCTGGGGTTTGAGATGATGGGTCAGAAGCATCACTAGGCAGAGAATCTATCTAGGTCCTTAATTTGCTGTGTTCCCAGCCCCTGGTGAAGGGGGTACTTCATAAGCATTTAACCTTTTGTGGACTACATGGATGAATTCAATACATCATCTAGATCGCTCAAATTATACAATTGAAAATTTAACTTTGCCAAAGGCAGCAGTAATTTTAGAAGTCTTTTTCTAGTTATTAGGAAAATACGTTGCTGTCTCTAGTACTTTTAAAAGACATAATGACAGGGAACACCATCGGATTAAGTATGCAGCTAAAATGCATTTCTTTATGCTGGAATAACTGTAGAACAGTGATTCAGAAAGGAACCTTTTTTTCTTGCGTCGTTTAAAACCTCTTGATTTGTAATTTTGTGTCTCTTCTGTCAATTTTTCAGAAAACCAAGAAAAGACCGAAGATCAGTATGAAGAAAATTCGCACCTCAACTCAGTTCCTCATTGGATTAATAGCAATTCGTTAGGTCAGTGCAATGAATTCTGCGCTTAAGAGCTTGGTCCTAAGACTTCCTGTTAGATTCATGAAGGGTTCGAAGCCAGGGTCTAGACCTGCACTGTCCCACACAGTGGTCACACTCACAAGTCCAGGCCACTGGTCACTTGAAGTATTGCTGGTCCACACTGAGATAAAACTCAGGCCCACCAATCTGAAAGTCTTAATATAAATGTCTCCTTAATAATTTTTGAAATTATGATTACCTGTTGAAATGATAATGGATTTCTTGCCTGCATTCGGATCAGTCGTATCTGACTCTCTTGTGACCCTATAGACTGTAGCTCACCAGGCTCCTCTGTCCATGAGATTCTCCAGGCATGAATACTGGAGTGGGTTGCCATTTCCTCCTCCAGGGGATCTTCCCCACCCAGGGATTGAACCCACGACTCGCGTCTCCTGCATTGGCAGGCGGGTTCTTTACCATCTCTTGGGTCAAGTAAAGTGTTCGAACTCGTTTTGCCAGCGCCTTTTTCGTTTTCCAGTGGGGCTGTTAGAAAATCTAACATTGCATCGGTGGCTCGTGTTAACCTTGCACTGGCCAGCTTGTCCATCATCCTCGGTGCCCGGCACACTCGGGCCAGAGCAGGACTTCCAGATGTTCCCCAAGGCCCGAATCAGCACCGTCAGCGTCAACTACTGCTCCGTCAGCCAGGACTTCCCAGCCGGCAGCCTAAACCTGCTCTCCAGCGCTTCTGGTAAGACCCAGGATCCCGAGCGTGTGTCTCGGTGGGGCTGGGGGTGTGATTTCCCAGGGCCACGGTCAGACCGTGACCTGAGTTTCTTAATCAGTTGGCCCATGCTTTGCCCTTGGGGGAGGTCAAGGACTGGACTGCCGGAACACGGCCACAACAGCGATGCTCAGCAAGCTTACTCCTCGCATGCCTCTGGCTCTGGTCCGGGGCCCGGGGGTATCAGGGAACCAGCAGAGTTCCTGCTCCTGTGGCCGGAGTCCTCCACCCACCCAGTGGGCTGTTGGGGGAGGCAGTGTAGGCAGGTGACGGGATGTCTTGGTGGAGATGAAAATGCATATTCCCAGGTGTCACAGTGATAAAGACTCCGCCTGCCTTACAGGGGACATAAGAGACTTGGGTTCGACCCCTGGGTGGGGGAAGCTCCCCTGGAGGAGGGCATGGCAACCCACTCCAGTATTCTTGCCTGGAGAATCCCACGGACAGAGGAGCCTGGCGGGCTACAGTCCATGGGGTTGCAAAGAGTCGGACACGACTGAGCTACTGAACACACTTGCAAGTGTGCAGTGGACAAAACTCAGGTTGGGTTTTTTTCCTTAAATACCCCTTGGGTGACCACCACCCAGATTGAGACGGAGAGGTTGCCTGCTCCCCACAAGGCTCCCTCATCCCCCTTCCCAGTCAGTAGCACTCCCCCCTACCCCCAGAAGATGCAATTGTCCTGACTTTTCTCATCACCGTCTTTCCCGTTCTTGAACTGGATACTAAGTGTTCCCATGTTGGGCTTTTGCTCACATTGTGTCTGAGATCCATGCACATTGCTGCCCTTTCCCATGCGGTGTGGCCCTCCGCTCGGAGCTACACAGTGTCTCCGTCCTGCCGTTGATGGGAGAGGCGCTTGCCTAGCGTGTTTATTCGTAAGAAGCGGGCGGCTCAGTGAGAAACCTGAGTGGCTGTGCGCCGGCAGGGCGAACGCCCGGAGGGGTCGGTGGTCGTGCCTGACCTTGCGTCGTCCTGGAGGGGTCAGAGCCCATGCTTGTGTCTGCCAGGGAAACCCAGGGACCACGAGTCGGCGGAGACGGGTGGCGACAGCTTCGAGAGCTCGGAGTCGCTGCTGCAGTCCTGGAACAGCCAGTCGTCTCTGCTGGATGTGCAGCGGGTTCCCTCCTTTGAGAGCTTCGAGGACGACTGCAGCCAGTCCCTGGGCCTCAGCAAGCCGACCATGTCCTTCAAGGACTATATCCAGGACCGGAGTGACCCGGTGGAGCAGGGCAAACCAGTTATACCCGCGGCCGTGCTGGCCGGCTTCACAGGTGCGTGCACCCGCCTTGTTTACCAAGGGCGTTTCTCGCTGGACGACCTCGCGTTGGCGCTCCAGGTTTAATGCGTGCGGTGTCACCCTTAAGCCGGGCGATCTCCCTGCATCCGAAAGAGGCCACATGAACAGGGATGCTCGTGGTCGCCGAGCTCAGCATAGTGGGTGACAATCTCTAGGCTGCTCCCTTATCTGGTTAGTCCTGGCCAGTCCCCAAAAGGAGAGGAGAACAGCGGGGGACACGGACCCTGGAGGCTGAAGCTCTGACTCAGCCACGCCTGGAATTTCCGAGACTGTAGCCTGGCCAGGGGAAGGGGCACAGAGCCGGGTTCTAATAACACAAGGACTGTTTACCTTCTTCTGCTTCTCAAATCCATCTTATTTTGAAGGTTTGGGTAACAGCTATTCTAGGCGGGGACAAATATTAAAGCTGTTTTTAGAACTAGATATTTCCAGTACTTTAGCAAAAATATGAGGATTTTTTTTTTTTTGGATTGCTTTCTGTGTCCTTCAATGTGCTTATTTTTTTTCCCCCCATAGTTTGCCCATATGGAGCCACTGGGGATTTAAAAAAATACCTGCTTTTAAAAATCCAGTAGGCTAAAACAAGAATACATAGGCATCCCGTTTCTTTTCTGTCCCGTAAAACAAACGGCCATGGAAATTACTCAGAGAGTGAAAATGGCTGTCATTTTCATACATGGGCGTGAGGGCCTGATCTGAAGGGAAACAGCCACGGTGTGAGTGGGTTTTTGTTTTAACATTAGTGACCATCCGTTGTCTTGCCAGCTCTGTGGTTGACAAGGACCATACTGGGACCCCAGGGCAGCCTAGCACGGCTGGTATTAACCCATTTCACAGACAGGGAAGTGGGCTCGGAGGACGCTGGCTCTGGTCACTCGGGTCACAGCTGTACCTACGATGTGGTCACTGTGGCTTGGGGAATGGCTCTTGGATGAGCTTGTGATCTAGGCGAGCCACCCGGCCGCTGGGCCCATCTTTTTCCCTCTTCATTTTTGAAATATCAATACAGTCTTACTTTACAGGGTGGTGGCGGTTCTGAATATTAATCGAGAAAAAGTATATGGAGAGCACTTTGCAAAGCGTCTCCCTCACCGAGCAAGTGTTGAGGCCCTGGCTACTCCCCTATGTGCACCAGTGACCTCTAAGTAACCTGAGTCTTGGATCAAGCAATTTAGCCACTGTCATCCGGTCAGAAGGCTACGCGTGGGGTTCCGAGAATGACATGCCTCACCCTGTGTTGAAAGGCCCCTTCTAACACCCCCACCCCTGTCCCACGAGGTGTTTCTAGAAATAAACCTTGAAAGTTATTACATAAGGAACAATTAAACAGAGGGAGGGATTCTGATGCCAAGGAGATGGTGGCGCAGAATTTTTTTTTTTTCTTTTCTCCAAAAAGACCAAGCCCAGCGATCAAGGGCCCAGTGATCTCTTTCCAAGAGCAGGAGAGGCGTGGGGGAAGAAGCCCTTACCTTGGGGTCTGGCCTCCTGCCAGTAAAGCATCCAAGGCTGTCCCCAGCACCCAGCGTCACACCTTCACCTTGATACGCACTTGAGGCCACTTGATCTTACAGTTCTTGCTTCAGGAGGGTGGCTGTAAAGCCTTGCTGTGTTTAAGAACGTCTCACCCACCCCCTTCTCCCCGGCAGGAAGCGGGCCTATCCAGCTGTGGCAGTTTCTTCTAGAATTGCTCTCCGACAAGTCCTGCCAGTCATTCATCAGCTGGACGGGCGACGGGTGGGAGTTTAAGCTCGCCGACCCCGACGAGGTACGTCCAGACCTGGGGACTCAAGCCTGGGGTTCTCAAACCCAATCACATCACTTGGGCTTTGCAAACCCAATTCCCCTGGTGCGAGAAATGGGTCCCAGGTATGTGCAAATGAGAGCACTTCTTCGGCAGGAGGCATTTCTGGCCCTTTAGGAGCCTTATTGTGATGATACACAGTTTAATATGCTGCACTCAGTGGCCCAGCCGTGTCCGACTCTCTGCAACCCCATGCGCTGTAGCCCACCAGGCTCCTCTGTCCGTGGGGTTCTTGAGGCAAGAGGCGTGGATTGTGGAGTTGGTACTGTCGGACTTCCCCATCTTGCTCTGTCATCGAGCTGAGAGGCGCAAGCTGTAAACGGAGGCACTTGCCTGACCGCCGGAACATGTCGTAGGAAATTTGCCTTTTTCCCTTGTGGGGGCGTGGATACTGAGCCCCAGGCCTCCGCTGAGGCGGGCAGAGCTGTGCCAGCCCCTCTGGATGAGAAAGCTGAGGGCGGGTCCCCTCCCAGCCCGGCACGGTCAGCGCAAGGGGCGCCCTTGGTCTCTGGCACCCATGGGTGCGGTGCGTCACCTCCCCGATAACCCGGGGTGGCAGAGGCATTGAGGGATGCAGACGGTCACGTGGCCCCCGTCCCAGACGTGGTGCTCTTGGAGTGCGAACCCGGGAGGCGGGGGCTCGTAGCCTTTCCTTTGTCTCAGGACCAACCCCTGGGCTCCCAAAGGTTTTCCTGAGGGAGAAGCCTCAGCAGACGAGGCTGTGGGTCGGGGGACCCGCCTCCCTCATCTGCCTGTCCCTCCATCCCCAGATAAATAGCCAGGGCTGCAAAGTGGGAAGGCAGACGGCATCTCTGCGGTCCCGTTGGTGCTCCAATAAGCATGCGTCCAAATCGTCATCAGGGGAAAAGGGGTGCTTTTTCTTTCTCTTTTTTTAAAAAAAATTAATTTATTTTGACAGGAGGATAATTTTCTTTACAGTATTGTGATGAAAAAGGCGTGCTTTTTCTTTTAAAGAATTATTTTAATGGGAGGATAGTTTTCTTTATTGCAGTGGTTTTTGCCTGGACGAGGGAGACACGTGTGCTTTTTTTTAGTTGTGGAATTAAACGGCACTCTTTCCCATCCCCGCCACAGGTGGCCCGCCGGTGGGGAAAGAGGAAAAACAAGCCCAAGATGAACTACGAGAAGCTCAGCCGGGGTTTGCGCTATTACTACGACAAGAATATCATCCACAAGACGTCGGGGAAGCGCTACGTGTACCGCTTCGTGTGCGACCTGCAGAACTTGCTGGGCTTCACGCCCGAGGAACTGCACGCCATCCTGGGCGTCCAGCCGGACACGGAAGACTGAGCCCGCCCGGGCCGGGAGCGGGGCCGTCGAGACCCGTCCCAGGACCCTGAAAGGCCGGACCGGCGCATCCGGCACGTCTCTCGGAAGCAGTGGCCTTACTCCATCGGACACCATGGTTCTTCACCGAAGGCAGCACGGTTTCTCACTTCTGAAAGCCTGCTGCCGGGAACCCGCCACTTAATGATGCTGTTCCATTCGGATGGCCCAGGAAGAAGCTTGGGACCCCCGTCCTAGCCCTGAGCGGGCTGTGTGGTGACAGGATCGTTCAGGCTGTTGGGTCTTCTCAAAGGAGCGAGCGTGTCACGGACGCACACTTCTTGGATTTTTTCTTTTGCCTTTTTGCAGCCAGGAATCACACAAGAGCTCTCTTTGGTTCTGAGGGGGAGCAGGGGGCAAAGACACATGATGTTTCAGAAGTTAGTTTGTATATATATGACTGTAACCTTGTAATTGTTATCAGAGTCCCCTAACAGACCTATTTAACAGAAATTGTATATTGTAATTTAAAATAATTATATAACTGTATGTGAAAATAGGAATGCAGGTGGCATTTTGCTACGTTCGCTGGTTTTCAGGAGCACTGACTAGCGTCCTTTTGCAAACATTTAATCTGCCGGAGCAGATTAAGAGAAGTTGTAAAGTGTGTATTATTTACATTTAATATGCCTACAGGAATAAGGTCTAAGAAGGTTCATTCCTGTTTTTTGTTTTGTTTTGCCTGGGTTATTATCTATGGCAAGGACATGTACATTTGGGAATTTTTATAAGAAACTTAATGTTATTATCTGGGGCCTCTCCTGGCCTCTCTGCTTCTCCTTTAATTGTAATGTAAAAGCTATAAAGCAGTATTTTTCTTGACAGATGGCATATGTTTTCCATTTCTATGCATGCCTTGAAAGTTTATATACAAAACTTACTTTATTTTTTAGTTCAACTGTGTTTCCCCCAGCGACTCACCTCCCCTGACCAGGCATTTCCTTCCCGAGCCCTACCCCCATTCCCCAAATTATGCTGTATGATTAAAATAGGAATACTATTTTTGGAAATATGTGACTCCTTTTCAGAGATCAGGAGGGATTTATGTAGCAGCTATTTTTACTGCAAAAGTAATTCACTGGACAAAAATAATGTAATTTGTAAGAAAGTTTTATTTTTACTGCAGCGCCTAACGTACAGAGCTGAAGGTGCAGGGGGAGGAGAGGCTTACTTAATGAACCTCTCGGACATGAGTGGAGCCCGATTTTGTCCCATCTTGTTTACCTGTGGAGTCTCAGGTTTTCTGGACACCAAGCTGCTCCTTTCTGTTGGGTGTCCACAGTTTTTATTTTCTTGCACACAGAAAGCCCAGAGGCAAAGAGGGTCAGCAAGATGGGAAAGAGAAGGCGTTGGGGTCGGTCGTTCATGTGAAGAAAACGTCTTCATTGTGATGGAGACTTTTGTAGTCCTTTCGAAGGAACCCCTGGTTCAGCCTGTGTTCCTGGCTTTTGTAAACGATCAAGTTGGTTTCCAAGTCAGACAGTCTTCACTAGCATCGTAGGGGGACCAGTGGTGAGGTCTTTGAAGACAAATCCTCCATGTGATGAGATGGGGGGAATTGGGTGGTAGGGTGAGCAGAGGAGAGCCGGAAGGGGGACCATTGAATCTTGTACCCACACAAGACCGTCTGCAGTACCGCTGAGCACGGGATGTTCTTCTCAAGCAAGACCTGTTTATCTGCCGGACAGCTGTTTATAACATCAACAGACAAGCGGCTGGGAACATCTTGCCGCTGAAAAAAATCGGCCATCCGCTCACTCGTTTTATATGGGCTTTGACCGCATGAATTTGCCAGTGTTTGTCTGTTTTTATCCACAGAGTTGGCAGTTTTACATGGCTCGACCCAAGAGTCATGGAAAATCAAACCCATGGTAAACCTTTGGCATGATAATAAACAGGACTTATCTATCAAAAGTTTTGTAATCTGGCCTTTTCTTTCTCAAATAATAAAGTATTTTGTTTACATCAATCCCTCCTTGTGAGAGCCTTCATGCCTCGCCCCTCTGCCTCCCTCCCCCGGCGCGGAGGCGGTGGTTCAGAGCGCTGGGCCACCCCGGGGTGATTCAGCCACTCTGTCACAGCCCCTGTGAACTGACTACACATCCCTCCCCCAGCAAATCAGGACCAGGCTGGAACCAACTGTGAACCTTCCTGAAGCAAGTCCCAAAAAGTGTTCCTTAAAGAGAAAGGTTTTCAGGGAGAGATTAGAAAGATTTGGGTATCTTATCTTCACCTGGGCTTTGGCAGTGTTCACAGAAGAGACTTTAGGATGCTTCTGTTGAGAATATTAGGATAGCGACATCCCTGCTGGTCCAGTGGTTAAGTCTCTGCTTTCAGTGCGGTGGGTGTGGGTTTGATCCTTAGTCAGGAAACTAACATCCCACATGCTGCATGGAACGACCAAACCCCCAAATAAACAGGTTTTTAAAAATCCAATTAAAGAAAGAAGAACCTTAGGATTGGAAGTTCAAGGACTTTTGTAACTGAGGCCTTGACTCCCCTGGAGTTCTGACATAACCAAGATGAGGGTGGTGGTTCTGGGACGCCTGAGCGCAAACTCATTCTTGGACCTCCTTTCCACTCTTCAGAATTAGTGAAGATTCCAGAACCTTAGAGGGAATAAATCCAAGGTGTGCTGGAGCTGGCTCACCATGGGCTAACCCAAGCTGATGGTGTGGGCCTCTCCCCAATGCTGCATCAGTGAGGTATTGGTAGCTGGGACTTGGTTGGGATGAAAGCAGTTATACACCACCAAAATTAGTATCTGGGACGTCCTCGGTGATGCAGTGGATAAGAATCCCCCTGCCACGGCAGTGGACACGGGTTTGATCCCTGGTCCCAGGAAGATTCCACACGCCTCAGGGTAATTAAGCCGGTGTCTCACAGCTCCTCAGCCTGCACGCTGCAATCACCAAAGCCCACGCACTCCAGGTTGAGAGTAATCCCTGACTGCTGCAACTAGAGAAAGCCTCTGTGCAGGAACCAAGACCCACCCAGTGAAGCTAAAAATAAATATACATTTATTTAAACAAAAAATCAGCATCTGCTGCAAATCAGGGCTCACCACCAACCTTTTTAAGGGAGCTTAAATATGTTTAACAGCACATCACTGATCATCAATGTTAACTGTATTAGAAATTAAAGAAAACTTTAAAATTTCTGAAATAACACTGATATTAACAATTTTATGAAAAATAACTTTGCAAAAAAGGAACAATGGCATTTTTTTTATGTGTTTTCTAATCTTTTTGATGTCTGATTTAATGAAAAAGAGCTGAATTCACATACTGGCTTCTGCATCAATCTGTTATGATACACTTTAAAGAAACTCAGGCCTCACACAAATCTCTAATTGGAACAGGGAGCATGTTTCAAAGCTGTTTCAGACAACTGGATATTGTTTTATTCTACACCGAAGCTGACACGTGGTAGTTTCTTAAACATTAATTGCAGTTGGAATATGAAGCTATATCAATAAACTTGTCAATAGTAAAATTCTGTTGGTTCGTCTTGCACTTTGAATGAGTTTTTTTACCCATGTGTGATTTTGTAACATTCATTAGTCATCGGAAAATACTGCCTCAAAATGTTGACTCATTTCAACATACACTGTAAAATGATCACATTCGTTAGTATCCCCACCAATTTCACCAGAAAGTCCCAAGAAGCTATCAAGCTCCCAGTGGCAGACACAAATTTTCAAAATTTCAGATTTTCACCTGAGAGCTTAAATTTTATCATCAGCAATAAATAAGCTGTTGTTCTTTCGGTACTGACTGACAGGCTCATTTAATTTTCCTTTGGGGAAATGCTTGTCAAATATGCAAATCTGAATAAACATCATTTGTCAGTTGTTCTTTCAAAGAACTGATGGTGCTTATGTATGAAGTAGTTAGTTTAGCTTGCAACTCAAGTGCACTCCTCAACTGCATTTCCCAGGACAACGGAATAACCTCAGTAGCACCAGATCTTCTGTATATTTTCCATGTTGTTAACCAGAAACTAAAAAGATGTATCTTTACTTATTAAGAAAATTAATTTTTACTGCGTATTCAAGAACATTTTTAAAGGAAACTGGTGCTTTTCCCCTGTAAGTCCATGATGAAAAAATGCTAGGATGGTTTAGTGCTAAGGTTTCAAGGGTTTTAAGTACCATCAGTGCAAGTGTCAACACAGTAAAAAAAAAAAAAAAAAGAAAGAAAAATGAATGTTTTAATGTCATTATAAATATCATTTTGATCCTGAGGATCCCCCTGAGAGGGTGTTGTCTGTGGACCTCACTTTGAGAACTATTCTAGAAAGCAGAGAAGCTCACCCAGAACAAAAGAGCTGGAACTGGGGCAGTGAGGGTGTGCAGGGAGGGAATATTTTTCTTTTGTCTCTCTGTGTCCATACTTACAATCTTACCCTTTCACAGCCAGTTTAGATGAAGCATATTTCATTTAAAGCAAAAAGAATGGTCTGATGTCTCCATGACAAGGAGAAAGTTCTTTCATGCAGGCTGAACTGGATCTTTTCAAAATCCTTCTATCAGCACCACTCTTCTTTTCCTTGTTCCACTCAAATTCCCAACCTTTTTTTAAAAAATGTATATATTATCACGATTTTTTAAAAAACAATGTTTTTCCTAACATAGTCAGATCTGAGGTCATAAAGAGATGAGGAGGTGTCTGCGGTCCACATTCCNGGCGGATACGAAGCAGAACTAGGAGCTGCCCTTCGGGGCCCTGTCCCTGAGTCCTGGCTACTCCTCGCATGAGGGGCCAGACAGCCCCACGTGGCGAGCGCTCAGGGGGTGGGGATGGGAGCTTGGTGGCCCAGGATGTGGCACCAGAGGGCATAGGCAGGGCTCAGGGGTGGGGCAGGGGGGGCTGTTCATTACCCCTTTCGAAACAGCGAACAGGTTGGCCGTGGGCTTTTTGTGCCTAGGCGCTAAACCTCGAGCTACCACTCTCATCCAGCTTTTGGGGCCCTGGTGTGTGATCCATGCCTCAGTTTCCCCCCCATAAAGTGGGGGAGTGGGTGGATGACCCACCGTTGGTTTAGGGCTGAGGGAAGTCGGTGGCCTGGAGGTTCCACAGAAGGGATGAACAAAGCCTTCCAGCAGGAGTTCTGCAAAAAACAGATGGCTTTTGACAGCCAGGCTGTGTTTCCAGAAGCAGTGTAGGTTCAGAGTTCAGCGATAAAGCTGACACTGAGCAGAAACGGGACTCAAACCCAGGTCTTCTGTTTCCTGATGCTGCTCCCTTGCCAAGATAACCAGACCGAGTTTTGTTGATGTCGTTGAAACTACTACCCAGGACTCCCCCAGGCTTCTGTGACTGCCCTTGGCTTTGAATTGGACATGACCCAGGAGCCTCCAACCAGAGCATGCAGGGTCCTCGGACACACAGCAGCCAGCAGCAGCTCAGTCCTCTGAGCAGACGAGAGAGTCCCATAACCTGGGCCAGATGCTAACCTGTCGTAAGAACACGACAGAAGGGTGAGACTCAAGCAGGCAAGGAGGAAACCCCTTATTGTGTAAACTCTTTTGCAATTCCTGGGCAAGGTTAGAACATGTGATGATGCTTGGAACCTAACTTTAGGGGAGAGACCATTTTTGGTCATAGCTGGTGTGTTGACACCTTTGCAACTGGAAATGGCATGGCCTTTGTCCACGTGCTATGAGTAACTGACCCCTCCTGCTTGCCAAACTCATGTTCGGATGGCAAAACATCCTGAGGTTGCCACATTGAATCCCCGCCAGTTGTTCGTGTGCCTATGGCTTCCCATGCTGTGTACATATAACCAGGGCTTAGCACGCACCTGTGTGTGTGCGCAGCAGGGAGCCAGCAAGGCTGATTCAAGGTGGACCCATGGCCTGGGCAGGCTGGAAGGACAGAGACAGTAATGGAGGGAAAAGGGTAAATAGAAAATGAACAAAAATATTGTGTATCAGCCAGGATTCATCTCCATGTAAAGCCCTTCAGAAACAATTTTATCATTTGCGGGTAAACTCCACCAAATAAGCTCTGGAGGAGGTCATTCATCATCACAATGCAAATAGGACTGGGTCTCACCACTTTGCACTGACTTGCTCTTGTGCTCTGCCCCCCAAGGTTCGCTGTAGGGCCAGGTGCACCTAGACGGCCCAGGGCCAAGCTGAGATCAGCTGTTTGCACCTCCCCAGGGCCTGTGTAGGTGATCAGATCACTCTCTATCTCAGAGCACTTGGGGAGAACTGTTTCCTAGAACCTGGCTGGCCTCCCCTCCCCCGCCTAACTGACCAGCCCTGGTTGTCAGGCACCTGTTTACCTTGGAGACGGAACACTTCGCAGGGTTCTGAGTGGTCAGTTGAGGCCCCTGGATCTCAGAGGCAGAGCAGCCGCGCCCTCGCAGACATGGAGAGCCTGCTGCCTGCCCTGGGGCCCGCCTGCCAGCTGATGCTGGAGCATCTGTGGGGCACTCTGCTCGTGGTTTCTGAGAGCTGGACACACGTCTCGGGTCTCCCTGAGTTTCCCTGGGAGATCCTGGTATGTGCCGTGGTGCTGGTTCTCACCGTAACGAGATGGCACGGCTTAAGAAGTGTGAAGCTTCGAGGGCAAAGGTCTTCTGCCTGTGAGGAAGTCTGCGGGAAGTGTAGTGAGGATGTTGGACCACAGACTCAGGCTGACGGAGACCTCAAGCCGCCTCGGGTGGAGGCCAGCCCTCCCACCTTACAAACCTTGTGCTTGTCGGCGATGAACGCAGACCTGAGCGGGTCATTGTTTCAGGACTTGGCGGACTTCCTGGAGAATGTGTGGTATGGCCAGTCTTCTCCACTTTCCCAAGTTACTGATGGAAAACACACCTTAAAAGCATCAGAGGATGATGGAGAACAACC